TTATGCAGCTAAAAGGATAGTCTTCCTGAAAATATGAGACGGGGTTCTGCCAATGTTCAAATCCAGTGGTTCCTACTGATGCAGAAGAGTCTAAGGACGATGATGATCTGGGACATTCATGGACATTTGTTACATTTGGGACACTATTTATGCTTGAGTTAGAGATTTTGTTTTATTTTAATTAGTATAGCTATTGTTCACTTATTTTGTGCTGTGTGCTCCTCTTTCCTTTTGTTTCTGTGACTTGTGATGCAACACTGAAATTTCCCCACTGTGGGACGAATAAAGGATCTCTTAATCTTAATCTAACATTTATTAACATTTATGAACAGCGGTCACCTCTCTCCCTCTGGATCAAAGGCTCCTATGTGTTTGTCATGACTGTATTTCCTGTACTTGAACTATTTGATCTGTTGTTGGCAAATCAAAAACTTTGTACAGTCCTCTGAAACTTCCAAATCCTCTTAGACGTTGTGATTTAGGGCTATACACAAATAAATTAAATTCAATCAACATCAATTTCCTCATTTCCAATTCAAATCTGGTTGTTATCAGTTACACATAGTTCAATCAGAAAGCACAAATAGAGTGACTTGGCCTTGTCCAAACCAAATCTAAAAGCTCAGGACCCAGAAATTCCAAAATATTAGTTTTTCTTTGCAGCTCATTCCAAACCCAAAAGATTTATTGAGAATGTAAGCCACGACATTGTTCTCAGAATCTGGCGGTCGGGTCCCTGAGCGCCTCTTGCATGCTACAGCCACATTTGCGTGTATCTATGTTAGTTGTCTCTCACTGCCAACTCTTGTGCAATTTCTTTTCCATTGAATTTGAGGCATTTTTCTCGTTCGTGCCAGCATTCCTGCCCCGGCCGCACGCTCTGATCGGCGGAAGTGATAAGTGTCTAAAAACATCCTTTCCGCTGTACCAAAGTAAAAGAGAAAACTACAAATATTTTTGCTCTGCGGAGAAAATAGCCGTCATCTGATAAGCCGAGTGAATGTTTTTGTTTTTCTTTTGTCACAGTGAGTGTTACCCAATGTTTTGGCAAATATATTGAGATTTTATGTATGTTTTTAACTTTAATTGACAAAATGTTCACTCTCTCTGCGCAGGTTTCTCGTTTGTTTTGTTTAACATGACCTGGTATTTCTCACCTGAAATGCGTGTGTTCTTTAAATAGGCCAAGATTTCAACTTTTATATCAATTCATTTCAATGCATTAGTGTATAGTCCCAAACCACAACAGCAGCCGTGTTGGAGGACTTTGTTGTCAATTAATCAACAACAGATCAGAGAATCAAACCGTTCAAACACAGGAAATGCAACAATAACAAACACACAGGAGCCATTGGTCCATAGGGAGCGAGATGACCACTGTCCAGAAATGTTGTTATGTCCCGGATCATCTCTGGCCTTGGAGCCTCCTGCATCAGCCAGGAACAACTTCAGTCCTGCTCCACACAGCCTCAGTCCTGCCTGAGCCTACTGCCTGACAATCTGTGGGAACAGATCCCTCTCCCAATATGAGCTGTTCCCTGTTGACGCTGGAGGGTCTAAGGACAGTGAAGATCCAGGACATTTACTAACGTTTATGGACAGTGGGTATCCCGCTCCCTGTGGACCAATGGATCTTATGCGTTTATAATTATTTTCCTCCGAGACAACTGCTGTTGATATTTAGGACATGTCAGGGATGTAAGGTCCAGCAGGCATGAGAAAACAAAAGCAGTCACGCTCACCTCTTATTACTTACTGATTACGTCCATTAGGAATCACAAGCATCTCCAGGTCACAGCCTAAACGCTGAAGCTTTAGTTATTTCCACTGTGCAGTGTAGTCATATACACTGTAAAAAGCCTTCTAACTGATTGAGAAAAATAAACAAAATAGTCGTCTTTGATGCAATCAATCGCGATTAAATATTTGTATCCTTTACAGCACTATACTATATGTAGTATGTATATATTTCTTGTTATTAAGGGTTTTGGGGCCAAGGCAGATGTAAACATACTGAGTGAGTTTGTGTGACTGAGCCCTCCACACTGGCGTCCAAACTCGTCACTGGAGTCTATTGGAGAGTCTGACGTGAACAGTGTGAAGTTGAAAAGGCCACAGTCTCCACCTGCTGTGCCCCCCACCCTGCTGCCCTCCACACCACCACTGTGTCCAGTCATGCCTCTTTCTGCTCTCTCTTTGAGCCAAGTCACTGGCAAAAGAAATGACACAGGCATTCATGAAAACAATTTGATGAAAATCCAATTATTTATACAAGAGCATGGGGGAATCCTTTACCAGAGTGGGTGAGTCATAGAAGCAATCAGCAGTTTCGATTTACATTTGTATTTTAGTGGAAGATGATTAGGCCTAGAAATAAAAGTATTTGCTGGATGGCTGCCACGTGTTCCAATTCATGTTCATTAATTATCTTGGCATTTTCCTTGTTTAGACCATGTAATTGTTGATTTCCCATCATTTCTGGGTTCCAGAACCTCCCAGAAAAGATGGTAACACCAAAGGGTCACACTGTCCGCTTGCATACAGTATGAAATAATTTTTTTTAGCATTTACTGAAGAAAAAAAGCAGCAGAAAAAAAAAAAAAAAAAAAAATTCGTACATACTCTTTATTACAATTATTATGAAATTCAAACCAGTTTTAAAGAGTGCTGCAGTCCATCTTTAAACATGTTTGTTTTGTACATGATTTAAAAATTAGATTATTTCTGTTTCTTTTCATTTGTGTGACTGTGCTGCAGTCATGTGAAGTGTTATTGTAACGTTGTGTATTGTCATGTCCACAACTGAAATAAAGGAATACATGCATTTGATTTCTATACACTCTGAAGCCCAATGGCTGATAGTTCTTAGGACTTGAAATTTTCTTTTTCTCCCTTGCGTACGTTTCCTTTAAAAATACAGTACGTCTCCTCTCTCTGGAGCCAGGACTCCCCTGAAAAGATGCATCACAGTGGGACTATTAATAAAAGGTAAAAATTACTTTTCTTCTCTGCCCCAACATTGCATCTATTTTGTAATTTGAAAATATTTGTTATATAAGTTCTCATATAAATGTATCCATAACTGTCCAAACAGTTGTTGTGTGTAGGCAAAACACTTCACCCTCATTACCTCGTCAAGTGTGGGCATGAATGAAGGGTGGTGGTCAGATGCCGCAGATAGTCAGTCTTTTCGTCACTCTACTCATTAGTTCATCACTGTCAATAAGCAATCATTTTGAAACTACTTTATGCAAAGTGCAAAAACAAAGTTGGTTAATCCATATTTAAGGCTAAAACAAAGAAATAGAAGAACTCAGCAGTATAAAAGTGACTACAAATATTACAGAAAAACAAATATTTTTGTTTCAACACAAAGAAATTGTACAATGTTGAGCCCCAAGATACATTGAACAATCTTATAATTATTGATTGATGAGTCGGTATCGTAAACATAGGGAAGACTTATCATTCTTCAGTCTCCTCTGCAGTGATCGTCTATGAGAGCAAAGTCTGCCCTCTGCACTGCACTATACACACTATACACACACTATACACACACTATACACACACTATACACACACTATACACACACTATACACTTCGTATTCAGTCTGGCCAGATCACATCAAAGATCCCCCTCCCCATCCTCTATCTACAGCCTCAGTCCTAGATCTACAACCTCAGTCCTGGATCTACAGCCTCAGTCCTAGATCTACAACCTCAGTCCTGGATCTACAGCCTCAGTCCTGGATCTACAGCCTCAGTCATGGATCTACAGCCTCAGTCATGGATCTACAGCCTCAGTCACACACACACACAAAGGACACATAGTGGAGAGAGACAGAGTCTTGTCGTCAGGAGGCCGTCAGCTACATGGAGGCAAGAGAGAGAGAGAGAGAGAGACCAAAGAGAGGGTACACAGAGAGAGACCAGAGAAAGAGACCAGTGAGAGATACAAGAGAGACCAGAGAGAGAGCAGAGAGGGACCACAGAAGGAGAGACCAGAGAGACCAGAGAGACCAGAGAGACCAGAGAGAGACCAGAAAGAGGGTTCACAGTGACACATCAGCTGTGATGTCACCCAAATGTCACACAGGGGGGTTGCAGTGGTGGCCCCCCACGGAGAGGGACCATTGATAGAAATACATTAAGACAATGACTCTCTTGAAGTTGTTATTTTTCCTCTGAACAGAACGGGACGTTTTAAACACACAGGATACCGCAATGTTGGTCAGAAATATTGCAAACAGACATTTTGACAACAGTCCGACCGCACAACACGAAGAATCATCAGTTTAATACAAGTTCAGAAGAGACAATCGGTGAACAAAGTTAGTAAACACTCAAACCACAAGAATCACTCTGCAACCAGCTTTGAGTGAGTAGATGACAAGGAAAAACTATAACTGGGTCAAAAGTTGAGAAAAGTCCCTGTTGAAATAACTACTATTGACTGTCCTATCTCCTACTACTATTGTATTGTATTCTTCATTCATGTTATACTTAAAGTACTGTTGATAAGGATAATAAATTTTATTTATAATTACAGTAAGGGTACTAAAGAACTTTTTATTTTTATTTTTTAAGTACATATAATCAAAAACTGTGATGGGAGACCTCTGGGAACACCAAGGGCCACAGTGGGGCGGCTGCGGCTTTAAAGTGCCGAACTGTTGTTGTGTCCTTAGGCAAGACACTTCACCCACAGAGGAAAGAGAGTGATTGGGAATAGGTGTATGGTCAGAGAGTGTTTGGGCCTGTGCCTCGTCTTAGTGTCTGTGTGTGTTATAGCTTTTGTATGGTTGTTTTCCGACGTTTTTGTTCCAAATTGTCTTTATTGAATGGGTGAGCAGAGTTGTAATCATTTTCCTCATCCAACCCCTTTTCAAAACTCTTTTTATCCTGCTGTAATATACACAACTATGACATTGAAATTTCCCCACTGAGGGACATTTAAAGGTGTAGCTTATCTGAAACACTGATTGATAAACATGTCTTACTGTAGCAGTTGGTGGGGTCTTGGGTCCCCGTGATGTTGCCGTTGTCGTCGATGCTGAGGAACCACTGCGTGCGGCTGAAGAGCTGCCGGATGCGCACGTCGCCGCCCTCCATGTAGTCGTAGTTTCGAGTGTGGCGCTCGTGCTTGGAGCAGTTCATGATGGCCGCCAGCTGCTGGGGGCTGCAGTCACAGGAGGCCATGCGCATGCTGCCCAACAGGAACAGAGCATGGAGGTAGAGGCCCGAAAACACGCGCTGGAGCTTCCATATCTGCACCCATTTGTGCATTATCATACAGTGCAGTGGGGGTCATTGAGAAACATAATGGAAGTCAGCCTACGTCCTTGGCTTGGTTTTGACCCTATGGTGTTCCCCCCACCCCCCCTTCAGGAAATGAACGTTTGACTGATTACTGCTTGCTTCTGTTTCGGGGGAGTCCTGATTGGCCACTGGGATCGCCTGGAGGTCTATAGTAGATTTCAGCCACTTCTGAAGTAGACTGTTTGTTTGATTCTCTGAAATGTTGTTGGTGATTCGACAACTTTGTGAAGACCTCCGGAGATGACTGCTGTTGTGATTGAGGGTAGTTCAAGAATTCAATTGAACTAGCACCTCAGCAACTCAAGTTCGAGTTCACAATTTGACTCCATGCTTTTCTCTTCATAAGACTGGGATGAGTCCTGGTTCAATGCTGGTTTCAATGTAGCTGCTTCAGTCCAATGACCAGAAATACAACACTAAAAAAGCAGTGGATATATTAATACTAGTGTTCGCTATCCAGTACTGGTTTAGTCTTTTGGGTCTGGTTTTATGTTAGCTTTGTGCTCAATGCGTATAACGTTTTCTATGGTATTGTCCTGTAGAAATCATGTTTTGAATGCAAATAAATTTCCCTTGTTTTAATGGTGTTTTATAAAAAAAACGGACTTCAAAGCATTGTCCAATCCCTGCGTTATTCCAGAACGTTATCCCAAGTTCATATTCCAATCGGGGACGTCATGGTAATCCGTCTCGGGAGCGGTAACCCAATACGTCACTAGAAGGAATGCAAGAGACATGTGTTATTCTGCGGTAAACAAAAGCTCTGATCGTGTTACTGCCATAGAGGAAACATGTCCCAACATTCACACATGGATTCACACGCAACACGCTGGCAGGGAAACACGCAGCAACTTAAAAAGCTTAATAAATCATTTTCAGCTGTCAAAACGATACATGAAAAGATTACTTTGGACGGAATGGCATTGTTCAAAATCATACGGCTACTGTGGTTGAAATACCTAATAGTGAGTCTTGATATTATGCTTATTTATTGTGCTGTTCTATATATATATTATGTGTATCTTGAAATGAATAGAAGATAGATCTATTATCTATCTTTGTTTTTTCTTTTTCCTGGACCTGCTTTTAATGGTTTGATTATTATTCACTTTTTCCAACTTTAGCCATCCAAAAGACAGCTTTTACTGCACTTTTTCCTCAGTATTGAAGTACCTCAGAATGGTCCAAATGTGTTATAATTTGAAAAATTGTTTTTTCACAGAAACAATTTGTAAGGCAAACCACTTTAACTATTAATTAAAGTAACTATTATCAAAGTACTAAGATCAGACATGTTTTAAATGTACCTAATTATACTGGAATATAATAATAATTTTCCTTTTATCTTCAGTTTTACTTTTCTGGAAGATTTAGAAAATAAACAAATCAGAAATTAGTCATGCTTTTTATGGACATTTTATGGACATTTATGGACATTTATGGACATTTATGGACAGTGGTCATCCAGCTTTCTATGGACCAATGGCTCCTAAGTGTTTGTTATTACTGCATTTCATGAGTTTGAACTGTTTGATTCTCTAATCTGCTGTTGGAGAACCCAAAACTGTAGTTTTGATTTAGGGCATTTAGGGATTTACACACAAATGATTTGAATTTAAGCAGTTCCAAAGATACCTGCTATAGCTCGGTCCACTATTTACCTGCAGCAAGTAAGTTCACTTAAAGATCACATTCAAACCCTGATACAATAGTACACATAAACACATTGTTTGCCTTTCTTAAAACCACAAGCAAAAACCTAACCAAGCATTTCATGCATTGTATTTCTTCATCTATATTCCATTTACTCACAAGAAGTTTGTATAAATCCTGAAGTAATCCTGAAATTACGCTCCCTTTGGGCTCCAGTGACACCGGTGCGCAGCTGCTCCAGAGAGAACTCCCACAGACGCTGCGATGCCGCAGCTCGTGCATCTTCTAGGCGCGTTCTGCCCCTCTGTGCTGATAAATGCCTCCCGCTGACCTCACTTTGGGGCAATTAGAGCTGGACCAGTCAGCTGTCCCGTCCGGGGATGGGGCCGCCTCCTCCTCCTGCTTCATCCTGTCACTCAGCCCTCACACACCGGAGGGAGGAGGGCTATAAACGCACAGAACCAGGGACCTCCTCGGGTTGTGGTCCTAAATACCTCAATATTCGCATACTCACTCTTTTTTCTTTTACAATGCATAGTTAGAAAGCAGATGTATGTTATATTACTATCTTCAAACATATGGGTCAAGCTGCTCTCATTTGAAGCTCACCAGCACTTGGACTTCCAGTCATTTTGACTGGAATTCTGAAAGAATTACAAAAATTGTTTGTTTTTCACTACTTTTAATACTACTACTTTACTAAGTGCTAAAGCTAGTGAATATAACTGAAAAACAGCAAAACAGTTAAACTGTAACAAGTGTGTATCTTTTGACATGGTGTGAATTTGTAGTTATTTTGTACTTGGTTTTATTTTGTAATCAGTTCTCTTTGCCTTGGTTTTAGTTTGACTTCCTGTCCTGTTGTCCCCAGTCTTGATTGTCTGCCCCGCCCTGATGTGTTTCACCTGTGTCTCTGTGTGTCTGTATGTACCTGTGCTCCTCTCCTCTTGTTGCTGGTCTGTTGTCTTGTTCATGTCTTTGTCTGTTTCTGTCCTGTTCTGGTCCCGTGTTCTTTGTGGTTTTGGATTTTGAGTTTGTTTTCATCTGCACTTCTGATTTTTCATCATTAAATCATTTTTATTTTGGCATTCCTGCATCTTGAGTCCTTCATTCACCTCTTCTCGTAACAGAATGGACCAGCCATCACAAGGACTCAGCAGAATGCCTTTTCTCCACCACACCAGCTCCAAGTTCATCTCCAGTCACCAGGTTTTTACTTATTTTTGCTGTAATCCTTCACTTCACTGCCTACCTTGACCCGTTACCTGCAACCACCCCCAGGCTTGAAACTCCGTCTGGGGTGGTTATCTGTCCTGCACCACCGCCGGGCGTTGTTCTCCGTCCGGGGTGCTCCTCTGTTCCCCCCCCTTGACCTTCTGAGAGGTACCCAGTGCAGTCCTGGTCGGGATGTTCCCCTTTGTTTGGAACCTGTGTCTGCCTGCTGCCCTTTGATGACCTGTCCTTCTCCTCACCTGTTGCCACCGCCAGACCATGATCTCAGTCTGGGGTGGTTCTGTTCTTGTCGGCCACTGCCGGGCATTTGTCGCCGTCTGGGGTGAGCCAGTTCCCTGCACGGAAGGTCACAACTGGGCTTCAGTTCCAGCCACTGATATGTTCGGACACTGCTGCAGACCTGAGGTTTTTCAGCCTCAGATTTCATCATGAAATCATTTTTATTTTGGCATTTCTGCATCTTGGGTCCTTCACTCACCTCTCCTCGTGACATCTATGGTAACTAGCACTTGCTCCAAACTAAGATTGTTCAGAACCGGTCCAGAGTCAGCACCTTCCGAAAAGTTTCCTTCCATAGAATGTTGCTAAGCAACCAACCATGGCTTGAATTTTACAATCCGATGAATGTTAAATAAATAGATACAGTGGATAGAAACTTTATTGTTCCCCCGTAGTAGAAATTCCGATCACATGGATGGAGCAGTCAAAATGACTGTTCTGGGAGTTAAAGGTAGAACTCCTAAAGTTTCAAAAATAAATGATAGTTCCTGAAAAAATCAACAGGATTTGGATGTTAACACTTCCAAATCCAAAAGCAGTCAAATGTGCTGCTCTGGGAGTTCTAGTTTACAAAAGTACAAAAATGATGTACAGAAATCTTTACAACTGTAGTTTCTAGTTGCATCCATAGCTTCCATTGCATCTTTAGATCAGCTTTTCAGATTGAAAAGTGAAAATAAGACCTCCCTCATTCATCCAATCAGATCTCAACCCAAAGCATCAAGCACTGACTTCCAAGGCTTTCTTACAGGTATGCAAAAGATATATGTTCCATTAGAACAGTATTTGAAAGGCTTAAATTTGTCCTCTCTCTGGTCTCCCTCTGACCTCTCTCTGGCCTCTCGCTGGTCTCCCTCTGGCCTCTCTATGGTCTCTCCCTCTGGCCTCTCTATGGTCTCTCCCTCTGGCCTCTCTATGGTCTCTCCCTCTGGCCTCTCTATGGTCTCTCCCTCTGGCCTCTCTATGGTCTCTCTCTCTGGCCCCTCACTGATCTCTCTCTGATCACTCTCTGGCCTCTCTCTGGTCTCTCTCTGGCCTCTCACCTTAGCACTTTGGTATTTATACATATTTTCATATGACGTATCCATATACTGTGTGAGCCTCCATGTGAATGACTAGAATACAGAATTTTAATAAAACACAACTGTGCAATTAAACTTTTTGAAACATTTTCAAAATGTCTTCATTCAGTTTTCTAATAAACCATTTTCTCCACAATATCAGTTGGATGGATGTTAATGACGTTTTTGCAAATAAATGATTTTGTTCATTTTTGTACACATTTGCTTTCATGGTTCTTTTATGAGTCGCTCTGTCAGGCCTGTGCTTTATTTTACAACCTTTTACTCGGAGTGTAGCCTTTTTATGTCGATGACCCTGTTTTGACTTTCAACCTCTGACTCGAAGGTTGTTCCACATGTTTGTTTTTATGTCTTTATAAGGACGATAGAACTGGTTTGTCTTCCTCTGGTAACTCTGGTCTCTCTCTGGTCCCTCTGGTCTATTTCTGGTTTCTCTCCGATGACTCTGGTCTCTCTGTTGTTTCTCTCCAGTCTCTCTCTCTCTGGTCTCTCTCTGGTGTCTCCGAGTACTCTGGCCTCTCTTTCTCTGGTGTCTCTGAGGACTCTGGCCTCTCTCTCTCTTTCTGGTCTCTATCTGGTCTCTATGTGGTCCCTATCTCCTCTTTCTCACTTTTCTGTCCAAAAAAGCTGGTCTAAAGATGTGACAGAGGCCAAAAATAAATGCATTTGAAAACTAGTGATAGAAGTAAACTGTTTGAAGAGCAAGGATCCAATTACATGGTCTCAAAGTGATGTCCTTCAGCTTTAAAGGGCAATTATCTTGGTTTGGTCCGAAGCTTAGAAAGGTTAAAGCTGGGGTACCACACTTTCAAACCAGGAGAAAAACTATGTAGTCTCCCTTAAAACGGTTCTCTCAACAACATAAAGATTATTTTTAGTGCTGTCCAACGATTAAAATATTTAATCGCGATTAATCGCATGAATTTCACAGTTAACTCGCGATTAATCGCAAATTAGTCACACATTTGTATCTATTCTTTATGTCCCTTGAATTATCATTTTAATACTACTAAAAAGTGAATAGGCGTGCTGTGTGCAATTGCTTTTTTTAATATTTTGTAAATTTGTTCATGTAAATACTCTATGCTGTTTCTCTGTTTACTTTCAGTATATCTATGATTGTATACTGTTTGCTTGTATTGCCTTTTTTATTAACCCCTCTCCCCCATCTCCCACTTCATGTCCCCCCCCCCCCATCCTATGTGCTCTTCTGGGTTTCTTCTTCGGCCCCCTGTATCTCCAACTACATTTCTCTGTCTACAATGTATCTTAACTAGTCCTTTTCTTTGTTTCTATTTTTATTTTATTTTTATTTTTAATCGCGCGATAAAAAAAATGACGCCGTTAATATTGATTTGCGTTAACGCGTTAACACAATATTTTGGACAGCACTAATTATTTTACTAGTTTTCAAATGCACGTGTTGCTGTTACTACATTAGATCAAGTTTTTCAGACAAAAAGATCTCAGCCTAAAGTGTCAATAGCGACTGGGTAAGGACTGGTATTTTTGGTATTTATACATATACAAAAAAACATATCTTGGCCAATAAAAAGCCAAAGCTGATCTCAAGATGTGACAGGAAAAAATGACATGCATGTGAACAATAGTGATAGAACTAATTCTTGTCCAGTTTTTAAGGCTTTTATTTCACTTTCTGCATTTGTACTTAAAGACACCGTTTATTGCCTGACATACTTGGCCTCTGCTTGTTCTCTCATTTCAAAAGTTTATATGGGCCCTGGTGCTGCGCTCTTGTGGGGAGGTCAAGGCAGGGGGTGGACAGAGCAGGACGTCCCATAAATGTTGTGGTCGTAAAGGGGCTGATGTACGAGGTGTTGCCCCTGTCACCCCAGACACCCTCTGGTCCAATCACCCTCTGGTCCAAATACCCTCTGATCCAAATACCCTCTGATCCAAATACCTTCTGATCCAAAAACCCTCAGATCCAAACACCCTCTGATCAAATTCCCTCTGATCAAAATACCTCTGATCAAAATACCTCTGATCCGAGCTCCCAGGATAAAGGAAGGACAGCTGCACAACGACATTACTGACCAATTACCGTCACATTTGTTAGTTCCAAATTAACTGAAAAAATAAATTTTACTAAGATTTTGTTTTACTCAAGAGTCGAGACAGAGGTCAAACTATTCTCAGAATTCTGATAGTACTAGAACACCCAGAGCACTCATTTTGACCGCTCCCATTCAAATCAATGAAATTGAGAAAGTTTCCACAAAAGTTAGTTTTCCAACAGTTGTATTATACTATAAGTTATATACACCACTTTTACTAAGCGCTAAAAGTGGTGTATATAACTGAAATGCAAACAGTGTGTTGCTATGGTAACTAGCACTTACTCTTCTCCAGGCGTAAACCAAGCTGAACCAGAACCAGTCCAGGACCAGCACCTCGGAGAAAAAGTGCTTTGATTTCCATAGAATGTTGGTTGCCAAGGAAATAGCTACAGTAGAATTTTACATTCAAAGAAATCTAAAAAGAGTTCTTGGTAGAAGCAAAATGATTCCATATTAATGAACTACATCTAGAATCAGACAAAATATACACAAATAAATATGCATTCTGTTTATGTGGAGATGCATTTAAGCAGCAATAGCCTCCACGTAACATAAAACACCCATGGACTCGACTAGCACACAAATATACAGCACAAGTACAAGGTTTGAAAAGGTTTGGATACAGTCCTGCTGTCAGTGTAACAAGCTCATAAAAATATTTCACGAGTGGTCTGTTGACACAAGGAGCCGATGCTTGGAACTGTTCCAAGACTCCAATAAATCTGTGTCAATC